CTCAAACCCTCTCCAGCGATTCCGGACTCATACGGACTTGGCTACAATAACAATAATTATTATCATATCATATATAATAATAAATAATATATAATAATAAATAATATATAATAATAAATAATAAAAAATATAATAAAAATAATAAAAATAACAACAAACATAGTATTTGCCACCCCACTGCACGTGATTTATTTGCGCATCACCGTCAATCGACAAGTGAGTTACCCATTGCAATGGTACACGATGTTCGTACTCTTTGATTTGTTTCTATAATTATTATTTATGCACAATTAAAATTATTTATTATTATAATAATAAATAACAATAATAAATAATAATAATAATAAAAAATACCCGGTCAGCGAACACAGTAAACTTGTTGTCATGAGCTCTGATGCGCACATCGAAAGGTTTTCCCTTCTTGAATGGTATCTTCTGACGTTCCTCCTTACCCCAAGCACCCTTCGTGAAACTATTGAAAACAATCTATAATTATTAATATTAATTATATATATATCAATAAATAATAATAAATATTCAATATATATCAATAAATAATAATAAATATTAAATATTTAACAATCTATAATAATAAATATTTAATATATATCAATAAATAATAATACATATTGAATATGCATTAATAAAAAATAAATACATAATAAAAATAACTATACAACAATAAATAATAATAAATATTAAATATACATCAATAAATAATAGTGAATACTAAATATATTTAGTAATAGGCAATAAATATATATTAATAATAATAATAAATATTAAAAATAATAAAAATATAAATAATACTATATAATATAAATAATAATAAAAAAATACAAACCTTTCCCTCATTAAAACGAATACTCAGATGCAATGGCACATCGTTTCCACTGAAATCTGGTGTATCTCTATGCAGATTTACCGTGAATCTGTAATTTTATTATTATTATTATTCATTATTAAATAATAATAAATAATATAAATAATAAATAATATAAATAATAATAAATAATAAATAAAAATAATAAAAAATAACAACTTTTTAGCATCCTTTCCACTATTCCCTTTGATAATTAACGTTTGACCGGGTTCGATTTTTTCAGTCAATTTACTTCTATAGGGCAGTGTCTGAACATTAATAATAATTTATATTAATAATAATAATAATAAATAATAATAATAAATGATTATATATATTAATAATATACAATAATAAATAAAAATAGACCCTTATGTATATTAATAATATACAATAATAATAAATAAAAGATTAAAAAATGCTCACAAAGACTTTGCCGTCGTTCGCAGACATCTTTATTCGTTACGTTATCTGATGAAAATTCTCAACTTTTGATATTCGACCTCTCAATTAGAGATTATTTCCTTAAATTATATATTTAATTTATAATTATAATAATTATTATTTTACACATTATTATTATTANCATCTTTATTCGTTACGTTATCTGATGAAAATTCTCAACTTTTGATATTCGACCTCTCAATTAGAGATTATTTCCTTAAATTATACATTTAATTTATAATTATAATAATAATTATTATTATACACATTATTATTATTATTATATATAATATACAATAATAATAATTACTATTACTATTTTACACCGAACTACAATATCAACGTGAACCCATAGGCCTCCGCGTTACAAATAATAACAATAATAAT